GAATGCGATATCTAGCCTCGTGTGGACTAGATAGCGCAGCCCGCCGACGATACTCCGGTAGAGTGTTGCATCCACCTTCCCCGCGGTGCTGGCTTTCGTCAGCTTCAGTCGCTCCTCCATCAGAATCGCGCATGATTTGCAGTCAGCCATGCCGCTCCGCTCCAACAGCTTCCCCGCATACGCACGCTGGCAGAGAGTGATGGAGTCTCTCCCCTGCTTCACCTCGATGCCGAGGTAGTAGGAGAGCTGCCCGAGATCGCTCATGCGGAAACGAGCTGCCATCTCGCGCTTGAAGCCGTTGATGTCCCCTTCTCTTGCCCCGGTGATGATCAAGTCATCCACATACACGCCGACGACGAGCTCCTCCTTCCCCCGTCGTCGCGTGTAGAGTGCGTGTTCTGTCGCGCAGCGCGTGAACCCAAGCGCACCCAGGGTGGCATCGAGTTTGGCGTTCCACGCCCGTGGGGCTTGACGCAGCCCATAAAGTGCCTTCCGCAGCCGCAACACCTTGTGCTTCTCTCCCTTGACGGCGAAGCCCGACGCTTGCTTGACGAAGACAGTCTCCGCTAGCTCACCGTTGAGGAAGGCCGATTTCACGTCCAGGTGATGAATGCGCCAGTCCTTCGCTGCTGCCATGGCCAGCAGTAGGCGAACTGACTCCATGCGCGCTACTGGTGCAAAAACTTCCTCAAAGTCGATGCCCTCACGCTGGGCGAACCCCCGAGCAATGAGGCGCGCCTTATGCTTGACTATAGCGCCACTCTCGTCCCGCTTGACCTTGTAGACCCATTTGAGCCCGATTGGATGACAGCCTGGAGGAGGATCGACGAGCTCCCACGTCTCATTTTCCTCGATCGCTTTCATCTCCTCTAGCATAGCTCGTCTCCAACTGACATCGCGCTCGGCCTGCGCGAAAGTCGATGGCTCCTCTGCGCTGACGAGGAGTAGCTCTTGATCGTCGAGTAATCGGCTCGCCAAACCTGGTACAACCGAGTTGCCAACGAGGTTGTCCGTCCTGCGAAACCTCACTTCCTCACCATCGTGGAAGGCATCCACATACTCGTCGATGTTGCTTGTAGGAGAGGTGAACTCAACTGTCGTCGCTGGAGGTGTCCCCTGTCCTGCCGCAGCAGGGGACTGTGGTGGGGGCGTGTGCGCAGCTGCTGGTGGAGACTCTTCGCCCGTGCTCATGGCCGGACTTTGCGGCTCAACTGACGCAACCACAGTTGCAGGACTTGGCGCGTCCGCAGCTGGCTCCTCTGATCCCGCATCTCCTCCTCCGTGGATCAC